CAAGTGTGGCTAATTTATAATAATATGTTCTAATATGTGAATTCCATTATGGCTACACAATTCATTGTTGCCTGTCAGTTTCACTCTGTGGGGTTGGATAAGCAGAAAGGAGTACACCCAAATCCCACCTGGAGGAGGAGTAACCAAGATGTCCTCCTTCACCATTAAATAAACACATCAGTGATCCAGATGGAAAGCAATATAGACAAATATTTTTATTCCAAGAAACTAGAAGATTTATGTGTAAGTAAATTAGTTTCATTACTTGCTTTCTTTCTTTTTTTTTTAACCCAATTTCATGTGCTTAAAAACAGTTTGCTTAATCTAATTATCAATCTTGCATTTGTTTTTGATCCAAAAGAGTAAATTGGTTATTCATCTATAGCCAATTTCATTAAAATACATCACTGGAAAAAATGTCATATAACTATGTAACGTTTCACCTAGAAAATGTGTTGTTGAGTTGTAAATTACAGCAAGATTTTCATCATGCCTTTGAATATCTTTAGCCACATGATTAGTCTCAGATTCCTTTTAGAGATGAGCTGCCTCTTCCATCTACTTAAAATGGGTATTCATCTGGTGAGAGCAGGAGTTTTCAGTCTTGGGGTTCATCAGAAACATTGTGGAACTTTCTAATCATATAGGTTCTGCTTGGCCCTGAACCAGACCTAATGAATGAGAATTTCCTCCACACCTTCCTTTCATTTCCTTTATTTACCAATGCCAGAGCTCTCCAGTAGGCAAGTGTTAACTAGATTAATGCACAGGTAGCTCCTATGTAAGCTCTCCTCTAGAGAAGTTTTAATAGGATCCTGTTAGCTGATTTGAATTTCGTGTTGGCATCTATGTGCAGTGTTCATTCTTCTGTGGATATTGAAGAAAAAACCCAAACAGGAAAAAGGGAAATGACAAAAAGTTTTGTTTTCTCTTTTCTTTAGACCCTGTTCTTTCTCAGCCTCATCAGATCAGAATAACCAGAGAGCTGACAAAATCCAAACACTTCACCACATTTATGTTGACAATTCAAACAGCCTTCAAGGCTTCCCTTTCTATTGCTCTAATTTGATCTACTAAATAGATCATCTTTGGTGACTGTGGATAAAAGAGGTTATAGGGTTGACTCTGTAGCAACCCTGGTGTGGTGTTGCAGGACTGGACCACAAAGTCAGTTTGAACCACAGGTCAGCAATTCAAACTCACCAGCCCCTCCTTGACGGCACTTAACAACAACAATGTGTATCATATCATTGTTGTTGTTAAGTGCCATCAAGTCAGTTCTGTCTCATAGCAACCCTCTCTGAGGAGCGGCTGGTGAGTTTGAACCTCTGACCTTGAGACTTGTGGTCCAGTAGTTATCCTACAGAGCCACACCAGGACCTCATGCCATTGTGATTCCTTTTTATTAATAATGAAATAGAGGCGAATAAATATCATTTCATTGTGTGTTTATATCAAAACTTGCCCAAAGTTTAAGTTGCATTTGCACCAATAAAATATATTCCTTGTTATTATTTGTCCTAGGGAGCCAGCTTCTCTAAGAATACAAATCCTTATATGTATCATGTGGGCTGTGTTGTTGTTGTCGTTAAGTACTGTCGAGTCGGTTCTGACCCACAGCGACCCTGTATAGGGTTTCCAAGGAGCAGCTGGTGAGCTTGAACCGCCAACCTTGCAGTTCAAACGGCTTTGCAGTCTGGTGCATTAACCCACAGCGTCACACCAGAACTCCATGTCGACTGTAGTCGAGCATATATTTCCAATGTTGCCAACCTGCAGATAGAAAAGTTTTCCCCAGGAAAACTTAGCAGGTAGGCAAATGTAGTTGTTATTATGTGCCGTGGAGTCGATTCCGACTCATAGCGACCCTGTACAGGGTTTCCGAGGCTGTAAATTTTTATGGGAGCAGAAAGCCTTATCTTTCTCCCGCGGAATATCTGGTAGTTTCCAACTGCTGACCTTGCGGGTCCGCAGCCCGATTCGTAACCACTACACTACCAGAGGTGAACACAGTAGAAGCTTGCTAATTGTTTCTCACTTTCCTTGAAAGCAGGTGTGTGGTCATGTGACTAGGTTCTAGCCAATGGAATGTGAGTGGCAAAAATGTGCCCATTTGCAGGTCTGGTCTATAGAAAGCCTAGACGGTCCTGCCTTCATTTCTAGCTTTATAGGTTATACTACTTAGCCTGTCGCAATTAACACAGGGAGTATGGTGTTGTGGCGCTGTATGGATAAGCACTAGATCACAAGGTTGGTTTGAACCACAAGGTTGTCTTGAACCACAAGGTTGGCAGTTCAAACTCACTTGCCATGCCTTGGAAACTCTATACAGAGTTGCTTATGATACAGAAACAACTCAGTGGCTCTTAACACCAACAACATGATGTTAGAAATTGGAACTGGAAATAAGGATACTTAAACCATTATATGGCTCTATTTTTAAAAAAGTTCCAAGCTTTAGTAAACCTAGGGACATGATGTATTCTAGGCCTACTGGTCTATGATATTATAAAAAAGAGCGGTAAAACACCTTTCATTCACACTGTATGAATAGTCTCAGGAATAGAACAGATGCAAAAGTCTTCCAAATACATCTTTGTCTCCAGCTGATGAACTGAGACACAGTTTTTCATGACACATCCCAAACACAGATGTCTGTGCTCCTCCCCAGGGCCCACTTTGATGGAACAGGGCAAAAAATAAGAGATGCTACATAGGAAAATAGGATTTAACCTTTAAAATCAAATTACTACAGGAATCCTAAATATAATTAGCATTGTTGGTGTGAAGTGCCATAGAGTCGGTTCGGACTCAGCAAATAGGGTTTCCAAGGGGCGGCTGGTGAGTTTGAACTGCCAACCTTGCAGTTTAAACCGACCTTGAGTTCGAATGCTTATCCTATGACACCACACCAGGACTCCATACTTAGCATTATTACTGTGATCATATTGAACCAACCCAAATCTCTTAAGTCATCATTGTTGTTAGTAAGTGCCTTTAGTCAGTTCTGACTCATAGTGAACCTGGTTTCCAAGGAGCAGGTGGTGGGTTCGAACTACTCATCATGCAAGCACCTGTCCAGTGCTCATCTTACAGCACCATACCAGGATTCTTAAATCATTGTACTACACAAATAGAAACAAAATTTATGTAATTCTAAACTAAGAAGCCGTGGTAGAGCAGAGGTTAGTCATTTGGCTATTAACGGATAGGTTGGCAGTTCGAACCCACCAGCCACTACACAGGAAAAAGATGTGGCCTTGGAAGACCTATGGGGTAGTCCCCTGTCCTATAGGCTCACTCTGAGTTCAACTGGACAACAATGAGTTTCGCTTTGAAGTCTTTGACATTTCATTCAATAAATGCTTTTTGTAGCACATGCAAAGTCCTACGGGGGAAACTGAAAGGAATCAGAAATTGACCTTGACCTCAAATACCTCTTGAGAGGGTCTGAGAGCAATGACACAGACACAAATAGCTACACAGGCAGTTTCCAGATTACAAACAAGATTTGTTCCTAAGTGTGTCTTTAAGTTGAATTTGTAGGTAAACTGAAACAGGTGCACACAGTTTTTATTCAGCCTGATTTTAGTGCAAGAAAATTCTCAAGCCCTTCCCATGATTTAAAAGGTGCACATGTAGCAAGTGAAGGTGATTGTGATGAAGAGGTTGGTAGGGTTTTGGTTCAATCCTTTCAAAGTGAGGGTAAATTTGCATAACGTTAAAGGACAAGTACATAAACGATATACAAATCAGATTCATAACCCAGGGACTTACTATATATAATTTCATGCAGACTTTGATGAAATCTGTAGCGACAGTAAAACTGTAATGAAATCACAGAGAACAGAGAATGTCATTCTGACTAAAGGCCTTGGCCAAGACATGTGGGGAGAGGTGACATTTGTGCCGAGCCTGGAGGTCATGCTGCATTTAGACAGGTAATGTTGCACAGGGAGGAGCTTTCAAGGCAGAGAGGTTAGCACAAGGAAAAACAGATGTTATTGAGTACAAATCATGATGAGCGTAAAAGTAGCAGTCTGGCTTGTACATGAGGGAAAGCGTTGAGAGATTGGGGCCACTGACCCTGCACTTGGAGTCAAAGAACCTGAGGGTTTGAGTTCTAGCTTCCCCCATTTACTATATTTATGAGTTCAGTATCCCTGAGCCCAAATTCCTCATCTGTGAAGCAGAAATAATGATTCAAACCCCACAATAGTGAGGCTGCAAAGTGAGTATCCCAAGAGAAAACTCTGTAAGAATTCAATAAATGTTAGCTGAGACCTGAGCTTAGACTGGTTCTCTCAGAAATGGGGAACTAACAGAGTTATTGAGACTGCATCTAGTTTACTCCCGTAATATTGTGTGTAGTCTGTATTAGAGGGCACACATCCTTCAATTAAGAAGACCCAGTAGGACAGTGTTATAATGGCACGTCTTTCAGGCAATGAAAGCGTGAAGCAGGGGTGTGATGTGGGAAGAGGAAGGAGACAATAAACGTGAGAAACAGAGGGAAAATGGCCACCTGACATGCCCTTCAGGAACTCAGGTTAAAGTCCTGGAGCTCTTTTACATGTAGCTCTATCTTTCCTATTTATCTACTTCCATCTCTGTGGATTGCCTCTTGCCCCATCTGAAAGATATAGAGATTGGGCTAGAAAATCTCTGCATATTCTACAGCATCAAAATGCTTTACATCTGTGTAAACCAATAAAATGATTAGATGAAAAAAATAAACAGAATGATAATGAGAAATCCCAAATAACTTGACGTAAGAAAGCTTTGAGCCTGAGTTAGTGGGGCAATAAGATAATGGCATGGCTTGGAAGAAGGATGAGAGGAAAATGACCAGCTGTGGGGCAGAATACGATGAGGGCAGTCCGTAACAGATGGAAAGGCTGTCCTTCAAACAATTAGACAAGTGTTTTTATGAGTATTAAAAACATTAGATGATCTCCTGTACTATGCAATGAAACCAAAATCATTTCTTTGACTTATAGATTCTTTTCATTGGAGACTCGACTAACAGAGGGTTAATGTATTATCTGATTGAAAGACTGAATGAAACCCTGCAGGGATGGCAAAAGGTGCACGGCACTAAATTCTATCACGACGTCAACGGTGGAAAGACTTTAATCAGTTACTCCTACTATCCCCAGTTCTGGATAAGCCCTTCCTTGAGACCAACATTTGAAAAAGCACTTGAACATCTCTTGCAAAGGTACAATGGTACTATTATGAATGCCACAATGTACTTGTGTTTTACTAGGAGTCATAATTGCTCACTGTATATCAAATGTGCTGAAAAGCTTAGATACTCAGCAATGTGGCTGAAAATGAGCTGGAAATGACAAAGAGGGCCTGTGATCAGGATGCCAGATATGGTTCAATGAAATGTGAAGCAATGCTGTTAAAATGTTTACCATCTGTGTAAAGACAACATGTGTTGTTTTTCTTTCTGGATTTCAGATCACGTCCCCTAGAGAATACCGGTCAGACTGTATTAGTTGTTGGTGGTGTTCAGTGGCTTAATTCTAACCACCTGCAAATTATTCACAAGGTTTTGAAAAGGTAAGTTTATGCAATAAGAATTGTCATTAGTCTTCTAGGCTTTAATTTTTTTAAAAAAATGTTCTTTAGATGGAACTGAGTTTTATCAAGACTTTATGCGAAGGACAATTTGAATTTTGGAATTAAGCATTTAAAGTCTAGTTGAAAATATTCAAAATACTGTAGTATCTAGTCACAACATGATTTATTCTTGTTCAATACAGAAACATTAAAACACTATTCAGGAACAACAACAAAAAAAATAGTAATATATATCAAGCCTATAAAATGGAAGTTTAGTCCTATACGCTATCATATTCTATAAGTATTCTAACATATTTGTTTGTTTAAATATGGTGTACATAAATTCATAACTTTAGAATTCTGGTTACTTTATCCAGGGAAAACTTACCCAATATTCTGGTGATCATCAAAACTTTGGGAATTGGATTTCATCTGCCAGTGGCTGGAGTGCATTTTTTAACTCAGGTAAACCCATTTCCTCTGGAATGTTTGAACTATGTGACTCCTACAAAGATCTCTGCTGGTGTCTGAAATAGGACCCCAAGGGCACTCTGATATTCACCTACTTCAAACAAGTCAAATGAGATAGTATGCTTACGGATTATGATTTTTAACTCAAATTCCCTAGGACAAAGAGGCCAGAGCCAATAAATAAGTTGTAAATAACATCTTGAATTAATCGAAGAATAAAGGGGTGCGTCAAACTAAAAAACAAACAAACAAACAAAAAACCAACTAGGGGGAATACAAGAGAAATTATGCTTTGAGTATCCCATTCCCCACCAATGTTTTCTACACATTAAAGGCAATATACTAAAGCAGAACAATGCCACAATTGTCAATTCCAACTTACAGTGAACCTAGTGAACACAGTAGAATGGCCCCATAAGGTTTCCAAGGCTGTACTTTTTACGGAGTCCTGGTGTGGTATCATAGGATAAGCACTGGCCTGCTAACCATAAGGTTGGCTGTTGAAACCCACCAACCACTCCTTGAAAAAGCTATACAGTATTGCTATGAATCAGAACCGACTCAATAGCATTTAACAACAATCTTTACGAAAGCACACAGTCACATCTTTCTCCCATGAGCAGCTGGTGGGTTCAAGCCCTCTCCCTTTGGTTACCAGTTGATACTAGCAGGGCTCATATAAAGCCTATATAAAGAAACTTGATTTCCTTAGGGTTCATACAGAAACCATTAAAGAAACTGCCAGTATCAATGAGTCTTTTGGAAAAGAGTGTTCTTTTTGAAGATGATATCTGACTAGTGCCTTTAAAAATATCATCTTTGAAGTTACATAGTTAATTTTTCCTCTGGTTGGATATTCGGAAATGAAAGGAGTTAGGAGACCAGTTCTTGTAGAAGATAGTAAATTACTCTCAGCAAAGAAGAGAAAGACAACACCTGTAGCTAAGAGAACCAGCTGCTCTGACTAAGCAAAGACAGTTCCAGGGCAGCCTAAGTTTGTGTGCAATTGCAGACTCATGGTGGACAGAGTGCTGGGAATTGTAATGATGGAGACAGGCCTTTTAATATACAGTCCAGGCGAGATTTAGGTTTGGGTCGTGTGTTGGGTGCTCCTAGCTTTCCCCAGCACAGTTTTATGGCTCCCTCTCCTTTCCCAACCGTTGCTTGCCTGGATTCCAGATCCGAGATGCAAAAACAGGAGAAGTGGCAGACTTTGGCCAAAGTAGTGCCTCAAAATCTAGCCTATTGGGTCAGGAAAGGGCGGGAAGGAGATTTAAGGTAAGTTGAGGCATGTGACACCTGGGGAAGCCAAAGGATTTGAGACTATTGGACATTGGAAGATATTTTTAATCATTCTTCTATAGGTTCTGAATTGTTGTTAAGTGCCATCAAATCAGTTCCAATTCATAGCAACCCTGTATAGGATGTCCGAGGAGCGAATGGTGAATTTGAACCATGCAGTTCAAATGAACCTTGCAATTATCCAACTTTATCCAACAGCGCCACATCAGGACTCTGAATTTAATCCCCTTTAATGGCATGGCACTGTAGAATAAGCAATAGACAACAAGGGCAGTTTGAACCACAAGGGCAATGGTTCAAACTCACCAGCTGCTCCTTGGAAACCCTACACAGGTTTGCTATGGGTTGGAACCGACTCAATGGCATTTAATAACAACAGTAGCAATAATATTACGGAAAAGCTGAATAAGAATCCTACCTCACATTGCTAAAAATTTAGTTCAGAAGACCATTCTTGTTTATATATATTATAATGAAAGATAATATACTACTAAAGCTAGAAATGTGTTACAAGTTGCTTACCAGGAAGATAGACAACAGTAGCTATTGCCTTGCACATGGGGAAGAAGAAAGGAAATGTTTATGATCCAAAAGAGCAGCAGCTGGAGCCTTCATTCGATTCTGTTCCTCCCCCACAATTTACCTTCTTTCTCACCTTCCCACCCCATTGACTGGCAGACCTCCCAACACAGTTCTGCTCTCTAACCTCTCTTGAGGCCTCACTGTCCAGCTGTTTCTTGCCCCTGGGAGATCTATACTGTGTCTCTGCCAGCCCAGTGCCTGATACATTTACCGCCAATGAAGAACTTGCTAAAGGTTTATATACCTGCTTCTTTTTAGAAGTGAATACATTAAGAGTTGGGATCATGGTTTACTCTCCTCTATTCCTGTCCTTCAGCACAGAACTAAACACCGTGCTAGCTATACTGATAATAACGAATATGCAAAAGACTTAATGGCTCTGAATCCAAATACATGGAGAGAGCATCTCTGGGTCTCAAACCTTGGTTTTTAAATTGAGGATGTTAATTATTTTGATGGGCCTTTGTGGGTGGTAAATCTAACTACTTTGCATGAGACAGAGAGTTCAAAAGTGTATGTCACTAAAAATATGTATATTGGCTTTGAGGTGTTGTTTTGTATGTACACAGATGCTTATATTTATATTTTGAGTGAAATAATTAAAGCAAATCTTTGTGAAATTACATACCTTATGATAATGACTAAAAATCATGATGTTTATGTGATGTCTGCCTGAGCTATTAAGTCATACAACTATCCTCTATTAATAAAAATCCCAATTCTTCTTCTTTATGATACAGAGAGAAGTACAGAATTTATGGAAAGAAAATTTGATTATTCTGGATGCTGCAAAAAAATATGGCTATGAAGTGGTTGATACATTCACTATAACAATGGGAAGGTACAAAGAGTTCCTGCCGGGGAAATGCGGATGTCATTTCCATGAGGTATTTATAAGCTGACTCTATGATTTTTATAGCTTTTAATTAAAACTTTTCTCCTTGTGTCTTTAATTGCCTTGCCAGCCTTATTTTGCATGAGAGAGTTATGACAGGAAAAAATTAAATGATGTGTACATCATCACTTAACCGAAGTATGTAGTTATCACAGCAGTATTATTGTTGTTAATTGCCTTCCAGTCCACGAGGACTCTTGGTAACCATGTATAACACAGAATGAAATGCTGCCGTCCTGCACAAGATTGGTGATATGTCTGAGTTCATTGTTATGGCTAGTGTATGAATGCATCTCACCAAGGGCCTCTCTCACTTTCGCTGGCTCTTCAATATACCAAATATGATGCACTTTTCTAGCGATTCATCTTTCATGATGACGTGTCTAAAGTAAGCAAGCTTAAGTTTTGTCACCATTGCTGCTAAGGAACATCCATCAGGAGCCTTGGTGTGGCACTGTAGGATAAGAACTATATGCAAAGTTGGCAATTCAAATCCACCAGCCACTCTCAAAAACCCTATACAGGGTCACTATGAGTAAGCACTTACTCAGTGGTACAACAAACAAGAAGGAACATTCCAGGAAGTAAGGCCTGGTGATCTACTTCCAAATATTAGCCAATGAAAATTGTGAAACATTGGACAATACAAAATGAGTGTGTGTGTAAATATTGTTGTTAAGTGCCGTCGAGTCGGTTCCGACCCATAGCGACCCTGTACAGGGATTCCGAGGGTGTAAATCTTTACGGGAGTAGAAAGCCTCATCTTTCTCCCGCGGAGCAGCTGGTAGTTTCGAACCACTGACCTTAAGATTCACAGCCCGATTCATAACCACTATACTACCAGAGCTTATATATATAATATACAGCCTCTCACTCTACATATGCATACTATATATACACTATATATATAGTCTATTTGTTGTATGTATTCTATGTATATGTTGTATATAGTCTATATATAGAGACTATATAGTCTCCTCTCTCTCTCTCTCTCTCTCTCTCTATCTATCTATCTATATACCTATATATAGATATAGATATCTATATATACTATATATAGAAAGATATATAGATATATAGTCTATTAGTTGTTGTTGCTGTTAAGTACCATCTAGTGAGTTCCAACTCATAGCAACTCTGTGTCGGTTTTCCAAGCAGCAGCTGGTAGGTTTGAACCACCAATCTTGTGGTTTGCAATCCAGTGGTTATCCTACAATGCCACACCAGGACTCTAGTGTCTATTTAGATACTTCAAAAATAGAATAGAATACAATAGGATGAATGTAAAGCTAATGTTCTCCCATGTAAACTATCACATAATTCAAAATAAAACATTAAAAAAAAATAGGGTAGAATATCTGCCTGAGAACTGTGATTTTTCAGCTCTATCTGTAACCATCAAACTGACAACTGCAACTCCAAAGATTAGCAAGGAACCTTAAGGAGAAGTAAGTGTATGCTAATGAAGGAGGAACAACTGGGAAAGGGCATGAGAATGATGTACAACTCGAAGAATGTAATCAGTGTCACTAAATTGTACATGTAGAACTTTCTGAATTGGCATATGTTCTGCTGTGTATATTCCCAACAACAACAAAAGTAAATTAAATTATAAAAAAAATAAAATAAGGTCATTAGTCAGCACATATAGAAAGATAGGAAGTTAAAGAGCATGTGCTTTCTTTAATAGATCCCAAGACTTCTAGATGGAAATTGCAGCCAAGGTGGCAAATTTCTTCCGTTGAGGCAGTCTTAAAATCAAGTCAATTTATGTGTAAATTGGAACGACCTTCCTCCATTGGTTTGTCCAAAGCATAACAGGAAAACCTATGTGAGAATAGGGTTCCCGGTGTGGTGTCATAGGATAAGCACTCAACCTCAAGGTTGGTTTGAACCACAAGGTCAGCAGTTCAAACCCACCAGTTGCTCCTCAAACCCTTTATAGGGTTGCTGTAAATCGGCACTAACTCAACAGCACTTAACAACAACAAAAACCTTCTTGAATAGAGTCCTGGTGTGGCACTTTAGAATAAGCACTGGACTTATAATTAGCACTGGAATAACCAACCATAAAGTTGGTGGTTTAAACCCACCAGTTGCTCCTCAGAAATGCTATACAGGTCACCGTGGTTTAGAGTCAATTCTTGGTATGGCTCCGTAGGGATAAAGTGGTGGATTACAAGGCTGGTTTGAACCACAAGGTCAGTGGTTCAAATTCACCAGCCACTCCTTGGAAACCCTATACAGGGTCACCATGAGTTGGAACTGACTCAGCAGCATTTAACAACACCAACAATAATATTATAACCATGTAAGTCATTCCCTTCCACCAACTCCCACCTGCCTCAGATTTCAAAGCTAGAATTAGCAGACAGGATATCAAGGACTTCTTTCCACTTTCTTCGTCTTGCTTTGTTACCCTTCTTCCACCTCTTTGGTTTGAGGTAAGGAAGAGAAATTAAAGACAAGAAAGGGTTTACTTAATTGGTACAGGTGTAATCCAGAGATGTGTTCTCTGTGTATAGAATGCAAATTCTTTCTAATTTAGGATGTTTCTATGCACTTCCTTGAAGATACCCTACTTGGGCCCTCTCACTATACCTCACTTGATAGAGACAATATCCTTCTTATAGCTGGATTTCTTCTGTAAGATATAAAATTCTGTGTGTCTACTTATTTCCTCCACACACACACAAAAATATGTTATAGTTGTTAAGTGCCATCGAGTCATTATGCCCCTGTGTAGGGTTTCTGAGGAGCAGCTGGTGAGTTTGAACTGCTGGCCTTGTGGTTCATAGTCCAGTATTGATCCTACAGCACCATACCAGGAGTCTTGAAATCCCTGTTTAGTTTACAAGGAGTCAAGACTTAGAAACACAAGCATGAGAAGTCTGGCAGAGAGAGAAACTATGAGCTTGCAGTTGAGCCAGTTGGCCACAAAAGCAAACCCAAGGTGAAGAGAAAGACAAAATGGAGTAAGGAGGTGATCAGCACAATAGCATTAAAGGAAAGGAAGACACAGAAAGGTGCACAGTAGTTACAGACAACAAAGGCAAATCCTACAGTATCAGCAATAACAAATACTGATCTACAAGTGGTTACATAGGCAGACAGGAAGATGAACAGGTATAAGTAAGCACAGGGTTTAGATTGTTGTTGTTGTTAGGTGCCGTTGATTCAGACTCCATAGAGACCTTATGTACAACAGAATGAAATACTGCTGCTCTTGCGCCATCCTCACGTAGTTGTTACGCTTGAGTCCATTGCTGCTGCCACTGTGCCGATCCACCTCATTGGGGGACTCTCTCTATTTCACTGACCCTCTATTTTACCTAGCAGGATGTCCTTCTCCAGGGACTGGGCCCTCCTGATGGTCTATCTGAAGTATGAGACACAAAGTCTCACCATCCTGGCTTCCTGGCTTATATAAATATAAGCATTCTGGTTATATTTTTTCCAACACAGATTTCTTTGTACTTTAAGCAGTCCATGGAGTCCTGGTGTGGAACTGTAGGATAAAACACTGGACCATAAGGGAATCAATCACCAGTTGCTCCTCAGAAACCCTATTGTTGTTAAGTGCCATCGAGTCGGTTTCGACCCATAGCGACCCTGTACAGGGTTTCCGAGGGTGTAAATCCTTACGGGAGTAGAAAGCCTCATCTTTCTCCCGCGGAGCGGCTGGTAGTTTCGAACCGCTGACCTTAAGGTTTGCAGCCTGATTCGTAACCACTACGCTACCAGAGCTCCTTAGAGGGTCCCTATGAATCGGAATCAACTCAACAGCATTTAACAGCAGCAGCAGCTGTCCATGGTGCTTTTAATGTTCTTCTCCAACTCCATAACTCAGAGGCGTCATTTCTTGTACGGTCTTCCCAATTCACTGTCCAACTTTCGCATGCATATGAGGTTATTGAAAATACCCTGGCTTGGGTTAGACACACTTTTAGTCTTCAAACTGACATTTTTTGCTTTTGAACACTTTAATGAAGTCTTATGCAGTAGATTTGCCTAATGCAATACATCATTTGATTTCTTGACTGCTGCTTCCGTGAGTGTTGATGGTGGATCTGAGCAAAATGAAAGCTTTGACAACTTCAATCTTTTCTCCATTTACCTTGATGTTATTTATTGGTCCAGCGGTGAGGATTTTGGTTTTCTTTACATTGAGGTACAACCCATACTGAAGTCTATGGTCTTTGATCTTCATCAGTAAGTATTTTAAGTCCACTTTGCTTTCAGCAAACAAGGTTGTATCACCTGCATATAGTAGGTTGTTAAGGAGGCTTCCTTCAATCCTGATGCAGCAATCTTCTTCATATAATCCAGCTTTTTAAACTATTTGATCAGCATGTTGTTGTTGTCAGGTGCCATCGAATTGGAATCGACTTATAGCGACCCCATGCACAGCAGAACGAAACAGTGTTTGATCCTGGGCCAACCTCAGCATACTGATTGAATAAATATGGTGAAAGGATATGGATCGGTACACACCTTTCCTGATTTTAAACCATTCAGTGTCTGTTCAAATGACTACCTCTTGGTCTCTGTACAGGTTCCTCATGAGTACAATTAAGTGTTATGGAATACTCATTCTCCACAATGTTGTCTATAGCTTGTCATAATCCACGTAGTCAAAAGCCTTTGCATTGTCAATAAAGGACAGGTAAACATCTTTTTGGTATTCTCTACTTTCAGTCAAGAGCCATTTGATGTCAGCAAGGATATCCTTCATTCCACGTCCTCATCTGAGTCTGGCTTGAACCTCTGGTAGTTCCCCTTCAATATTCTGGTGCAGCCATTTTTGAAGTATCCTTAGCAAAATTTTACTTGCATGTGATTATTAATGATATTGTCCAATGATTTCTGTATTCTTCTGGGTCACATCTCTTTAGAATGGGCACAGATATGAATCTCTTCCAATCATGACTATAAGTAGATCTGGCAAATGACATTTCTACATATTTATTTATTTGTGTGTGCTATAAATAC